CCAACATAAAGGCATGAATGTCTTTGATATCACGAAAAATTTTTAAAGCTTGTTTGAAAAGAATAATATGTATGAGTGCTATGAGATAGCAAAGAAGTTCTTTAAAGTCATAATGGATGAGAGATCCAACATCAAAAAGCACATCACCGAAATAATAGGCTATATCGATAGGCTAGTTGAATTTGAGGTTGGAATGGATGTTAAATTGTCCATTGACCTAGTATTACAATCATTGCCTAATATTTTTGGATAGTTCATCATGAACTTTAACATGATGCACATGTAAAAGACTATTGGAGAGTTGATGTCCATGCTATTGGAAGCTCAACTCGAAATTAAAAGAAGAACAAGAGTTTCGTACTTCTTGTTCATAAGGGAAAAGGTGTGGTAAAGGGAAAGAAAAAATCCAATAAAAAGAAAAAAAAAGTCTTCAACTATACCTACTAAAGGGGGTTAAAAACCTAAAGGCTTAGAATAGCCCAAAAGATGCGATCTGCTTTCATTAAAATAAGAAAGGACATTGGAAGTGCAACTACGATACATAAAATAGGTGAAGAAAAAGAGTTCTATAACCACCTTAGGTATTTATATTATTTAAGCTAATTTTTTATTTCTAATCCGACACTATAGGTATATAATACTAAATATAGTGCTCATATTTTTGAAATGTGCGGGAGCTTAGAAAAGAAAGAAAGATAGCTTCGAGGGAGATGACTAACAAGTCTGCAATAGATCTAAAGTTGGACCATTAATTATAGGTATTTATGAGCTAGTACTACCATGTAGACATGTGCTTAGACTTAATTATTATTATTTTAGTAGAAACTAAGAATGTTATTTTCATTTCTTATTTTGAACAAGTTTTTCATTTTAAGAATAATGGTTATTTTACTTCACCCTAAGGAGAATGAGATTCTTTATCAATGGACACCACGTGTTGGATATATTCTAGTCCATAATGAATCAAAATTTGTATCCCACTTCTTTTTGGGATAAGCACTCCTTATTGAAACTTTTATTTTGAATAGGATTCCAATTAAGTCTATTTGATTAGACTTTATATGAGATACGAAAAGAAAATAAAATGAATTTATCTTTTCGAATGATATGAGTCTATAAAACATATGTCAAACAGTTTGATAAAAAAATCTAAAACCCAAATCAATGAAGTGTAAATACATGAAATATTCAAAAAAAATGGATATTGTTTTTCTAACACTAGAACAAAGTGTTGTTCATGACTAGACATGCTATTTTCCTGTGGAAGAAATTTATGGATGCTAAAAACAATGGGAGGAAATTAAAACTCAATGAGATTTGAGTAGACTCATAAATTAACACTTTATTAATGAAACCCCTAGTAAATAGGTTATAAAATGTTGTAACTAGCCACAAACAAAAACACAAGAACTTCGTAAGTCTAAAAAGAGTTCATCAAAGGACGAAAGGATATGAACATCTTGTCTCAACACATAGTGATGTGTACCCTAAAAGGTTTAAAACTTATGATAATTTTAGACATTAACTCCTAGAAATGGCAAACAAAAAAGGTGTGTAAATGACTTACTTTGATGGTTATAAGAAACATACAAATAAGATTTACAACATGTAAAGGTCCATTTATGGACTTAAGCATGCCTCTAGGAATGAGTATCAATGTTTTGGTAAAATAATGAAAGAGTTTGTTATTATTAAAAAAAAAGATCAAACTTATGTATACAAAAGGTTAGTGGGAGCCTACTATTCATGGTTATTCTATATAAAAAATTAAACAAACTACTTCTCGACTTTAAACATTATCATATTACAATCTATAATCCCGACATATCTAAAAGGAATTTTCCCAAGTATGACATGGGAGGAAAGCTTACATTCTAAGAGTTGAGATCTATAGAGATAGATCACTTAGAATATGAGGGGTCTCCTAAGGCGGATACAATGACATGATACTAAAAGGTTTAGTATGAAAAAAATAAAAAAAGAGTTATTCAAATGTTATATAGCTTGATGTCCAATGATAAAGTATTCATAGGATAAGCTAAGAAACCAAGGTCTCATCAATGATCCAAGCATGTACTACGACGCTACCATTTGATTAGAAAGATTATCAATCATCGCAATATAAGGATAGAAAAGATCCACACTAAAGAAACATAGTCGATTCCACGACTAAGCCTTTGTCACGGCTAAAACATGAGTCCCTTACTCGATCGTTGAGATTAATGAATATGGCTGGTTGGCTCTAATGCAAATGAGAGATTGTTAATTTACATACCTAAGATCCAACCATATTTAGATAGGTTTAAGTTATTGTATTATTACATCATTTATTTTATTAATAATAAAAGAAGTCTTTCTATTAATTCTTATCTCTTATGTTTATTTATTGAATAGAATTAGATAGAAGTCTATATGATATACATTTGTAATAATGATTGATTGAAAGATGTGAGATAAAAACTACCGCACATAAATAATATCATTAAATATCCCAAGTTGTAGCATTATCAAGAATGAACATTGACTAGATGTTGTTAGACTTGTGAGTGTTATGCTCATGTTATATGATAACAATAAGAGATCTCACATCTATTGGCATAATGATGCTAAAGCAAGCACTTAGGTGGTTTATGTTAAGGAATATATCACTAGACTTAACTCGTCAACGGAACTTATTTGGTTTAGTCTATAGTAATATCATACGGGATAGGTACAACTAGTCCTTAGACTTGAAGTGATCATGGTTATCTCATTAGAGGATTTATGTACTTTGATGCACATTTCGATGGACCCGGTAAAGGGTTACATGTGAGCGATTCATTGGGTGCACTAGAAATCTAATGAAGGTAAGTAGATGACTAACATAAGACATATCATTCCTTGTATACTAAAGGAGTTATTACATTATACTTTGATGAATGTCTACTCTAGAAATTTATGACCATCGTAACGAGTACACCAATAGAGCATAGTTGATTTACTATAAGAGCTAAGACATTTGAAAATCGAAGAAAACTTATGTGATCATAGTCGAATAGACTAATAACCAATTTCGAGATCACATTGTGACAAGTTGACATGAGGACTCGAATTGTACGGTAACCATGCTTGTGAAATATAATTATGGATTAATTAATACTCCTAAAAAATTGAGTAGTCATGATGCCTTACTAGAAGCCAATCTTGATTTATGTATCAAGTAATAAAAGAGGTGTGTCTTTTATTTTTATTACATTGCTAACATATCTAGGAGCATATTGCGTCAAACACATAAGTTTAAACATTCACATAATAAAAGAGAAGCAAAGATGTTGGAAAAAAATTTAGTTTTAAAAATTTCCTATTTTGAAAAACATTTTCAAAAATGAAAAGTTTCCTAAAATGAAAGTTTCTGAAACGAAAAGTTTCTTATTTTAGAAATCGACTTCCTAATTTGGTAGTTCCAAATTTAGAAATAAATAAGCTAAAAGGAAATTAGTTTACTAATTTAGGTTAAAGGTATTTTAGAAAATTACTTCTAAATGTGAGCCTCCTAAAATTATCTAATAGTTGGATAGTCTAAATTAATTAATTACGCCAAAATAGTTTGGGCTAATAGGTTTGATTAAAACCTAAAAGATATTTTGGTGGAAGGATAAATATGAACCTTAGTAGATAAAGATGATTGTTTTAAAGGATTAAATCAAAAAGTTCATATGCATAATAACTCCTAATCCTTTAAGGATTAGGAAGCAATAATCAAAAGTCCTTTTTAAGACTAGTTACCGCCCCTCTTACCCTTAGAGGACAAGGAAAACTCTCCCCCTATAAATAGAAGGAGAGATACGATAAGAATAAAAATCTAAGAGACAAAGACACATAGCCAAGAGAGAAAAAATAAGGCTACATGACATTAAGAAAAATAAGGAGAAAATAGTTTTCTCCCTTCCCTAAAAATTGGGCCACCTCTCTCTTCTCTTTGGGTTGTCATAAAATTACGATGATTAGATTTTAAAAGAAAAAGCACTAAACAAGTCAGCAAAGGTAGAACTAGCACTCTACTAATTTTGAATGCTTCTCGTGTGGTGCTTAAAGCTGCGTGGATTATCGATAGATGACGGATTAAATAACTCCTTTTCGCAAGGGTTTAAATCTACACTATAAGAGGTAATTCTTTATTTAACACTTTAATTCATAAATATATGGTTAGTTGATTAAATGGCATGATCTTGGGCCTTTTAGATGGAGAAAATTTTTGTTTTATTCTATACCTCCATAGGATGCATGATCCTTCAATAAGATCAAATGCTGAATTATCCGGTTGGTAATTCGGATAGTCTAAAAACTTAAAAAGACTTTATGATTAAATTAGTTTTTCCTAAACCTTATTTAAAAAAGCTAGATCTTATCCATTAGGATTGACTCATTAAGACATGAATTATCTTGGTAATGATGTACGGTCTAACACTTGTTTTGACAAGTTATCATGATTTGAAGTCTACAATGATAAAGCAACATATCCGATGTAGTTCACATCTTACATGCATGCATTCACTAAATATATCCGTTATGAATTTTTTCTAGGATTTAAAATATAGATCGTCCCACCAAAACTCAACTCTCCTCTCAAATTCATTACACTCGACTTAGGTAAAGACAAATGAAAAATGAAGAAAAAGCATAGTGGGAGCGAGGCTCACTAGTAAGAGATTGATACCACGAAAGGAGAAATTACCCGTTTGACTAGTCTGCTGGAAAAGACACGACCGGTAAGGGTGATCAAACGAGTTCGGTTAATCGAAAATCGAATTAAACCAAACCAAATTGTGAAATTTGGTTTGGGTATAAATTAAAAAATATATAATTTATAATCGAACCGAAAAAACGAAATAATTTCGGTTCGGTTCGGTTTTTTTTTTTAGGAAACGGTTTGAACCGAAAACTATTTTTTTATTCCTAATTCTAATTCGAATAACTGAATAAGATCTAAATATCTAATCATCTAACCCTAAGTCCCTAACTCGGACACTCGGTAACTCCCTCTCCGCCTCCGGCTCTCCCTATACTTGTCTCCCTTACCTTTGGTCGCCTCTTTCATCTTTCCTTTCCTTTTGAGGTAGACGAAGTCACGCGACAGCCCACCGTCGTCGCCCGGCATTCCGACGAAGCCCGCCGACGAACGAGCAAAATCGGTCTCTCTCGTTCTCATCTCTCACACTCTCAACACAAGTCTCATACTCTCGGCCTTTCACGGATCTCGTACTCTCAAAGCCTCACTCTTCTTCTCCTCGTTCTTCACTCTCCACTCCAGGTGACGCAAGTCCTCCGGGCTCGGGCTCCAATCCTCTTCTAATCTTCCTTCGTCAAGCTTCGTGTCTTTCAAGGTTAGTCTCTTTTATTTTATTTTTTTTTTTGTTTGCACGATATGTGATAACAATAATGTATTAGGATTAGATTATGTTCTTTTTTAGATTCTTTAGTGAGCTTTGATAAGCTGATATGCTTTTTCTCGCACTATGGTGTTATCTTGGTTAGAAGCCTAAAGCCTTGCCTTGAAATGTTTATTATGTCCTGTTGGCATCCGTTTTCCTTTTTAGTTCTTTGGAGTATGTGATTCTGCACTTTATTTGCATTAGTCCGGTTATCCAGTTGTGTTTTGGTTTAAGTTCGGGGTAAGGGTGACGATTTGTTCATGTCTAACTCCTATTTTCTTTTCTCTTCTTTGTTTGTTTCGGCATTTTTCTGTTTTAGCTAACATGGTTATCAAGCTTCCCATTCCGCACTTTATGTTGTTTTCTCTTTTATTGATTGTTTTCCTTTCTTTCCTTTCAAATGATTACTTGTTACGGATGGGATTAACACCACTTAGGAGGTATTTTTCCAAGGCTAGGAGCTACTGTCCGTGTTGTGTTTGGCACGTTTTTGTGTGACTTTGAATTTACAACTTGAGAGGTTGGTGATTTTGTTGAAGCCAAAGAAGGTGGTGGCAAGATCTTTGCTTAAGCTAGATTAGCCTCGGTTGAGAGAAACGATACTAGTGCGGACATTGTGCGGATAATAACGAAGCCGATCTCAAACGACTAGATTTCATTGCTTTCTTGGCTCATAAGATGTCTTCTATGGAGTGAAAAGGAGGACTTGGCTAGTTATGTTTGCTTGCAATAGCATATATATAGAGAGATAAAGAGGGAGGAAGAAATATTTTCTCCAATATTTTTGTTTTTGCTTTTAGACTAAAAGGTTTATCTCTTCTTCCAATTCAAAATCCGTGTGTGAGGCATGTGATGGATCTTTGACTATTCGGCTTCCAAGTTCCAAAGCAAAACCTAAACTCTGCAGATTTGGTTAGTAAGTTTGTTAGTATAATTTATCGGTCATGTGATGATCGGTCATGTGATTAAATAGTGTCATGATTGGTTAGTGAGTTTGTTAGTCTAATTTATTAGTATAATAGTGTCATGATCGATCTGTTTTAACTAACATGGATCCTCCCCTAGTGGTGCTAGTCCGGTTACCATGCGAGAGGGCGGGAAATGGGAAGCTTGGAAACAATCAATAAGGTAGCAAATGGATGTATGGAAATGCTGGAATCGGTTGAAAGGAAAGACTAAAGAGCACGTGAGGATGTGAATGGTAGCCGTTAGGAAGGGAGTTGAGTTAGTTAGCTAACATGGCAAGAGTTGGTTATGGTCGTTAGATTGAGAGGGAAAGTTAGTTAGAAACAAACACTCGTATAAATCATGAGTAATTCATTGTAAAAGAGTTATTCTGTCATTTTAGATCAATATTGAATTTACTCTTCTTGCTGATTTCTCTATTTATTACTTTATTTTCTCGTTCTTCTTGGTTTTTGATTTACATAACTAATTCTAAAATTGACGAGTTGTTAAAATCTTTAACCGTTGTTAATCTCCATTTAGTCTTGAAAGAATCATTAAAACCCGTAATTCATCATTTCATTTAGAATTTGACATCACACAAGTAAAACTAAGCTAAATTCTTATCCACAAAGAACTCGTCCATTGTTGTTAAGCAATCTTTCTTCATTTATCTTCTCATTTTCTCTCTTTTAATCACATACATATAACCAAAAATTGGATAGATGAAATGAATGCTTAAAATTTCTACATAATTAAATGAGTATAGTTTAATTACTCGAATGAATTCAGAAAAAAAAATGAACATACTTTTTCATATAGTCGTGCAATTTTAATAGCATCTGTTTTGTGTATGAAAGCTATTAAGCTATTTATTTTAGGGTTAGACTACTTTTTCGTTTGCTACTGATTTAGGGGAGGATCTTCTAGAATTCTACCCAACTTTGGTACTTGTCTAAGTGTCTACTCGTCTTCACTCTTCGGTATGGACGAGTTGGACACACCTTTGTTAAGGCGAGGCGGTAGCATCCGCCTATATTTGATTTTAGGGTTAGACTACTTTTTTGTTTGCTATTGATTTAGGGGAGGATCTTCTAGAATTCTACCCAATTTTGCTACTATCTAAGTGTCTAACCTGTCTTCACTCTTCGGTATGGATAGTTGGATACACCTTTTGTTAAGGCACCTTTTATTAAGGCAGAGGCAATAGCATCCGCCTATATTTGATTTTAGGGTTAGACTACTTTTTTGTGGTTATCAACGGTAGGCGAGTTCCATTCCATATTATGCTACCAACTTGGCAACTTGTGTATATTTATTATGTTTTTTTGATTATTTAAGAGTGTGAAGCTTAATACTCTTGTTCCTTTGTTATTTATGTAGATGTCACAATCTCAATCCGAAGAGATGAATTATGAACATGTGAGTTCAAGCAATCCCAATACACAATCAAGTGTAGGTGTAGGTCCAACTTTAATTAACACTCAAGAACATGTCAAAAGAAAGAAGAGGAAATCAATGAAGCCAAGATCGATGGTGTGGGACCATTTCACAAAGTTTGAAGATGACAATAAAGACATGAAGGCTAAATGCAACTATTATGCTAAGGTATTTGCTTGTAATCCTTCAAAAAATGCGACAACCTCACTTAGGTCTCATATTTTGACTTGTAAAAAAAACCCTTTTAGTTGTATTGACTCTACACAAACTCAATTAGACCTTAGAAGGCTTGAAGTGGGAGAAAATAGTCTTAGCATATGGAAGTTTGATCAAATTGTTAGTAGAAAAGATTTAGCTGAAATGATCATTCTAGATGAACTTCCATTTAAGCATATAGAGGGTAAGGGATTCAAAATTTTTTTGTCTAATTTGCAACCTAGATTCAAACTTCCATCTCGTTTTACGATTTCAAGAGATTGCTATCAACTTTATTTAGATGAGAAAATAAAGTTGAAGCAATTTTTGAAACAAAATAGTCAAAGAATTAGCATCACTACGGACACATGGACATCTATTCAAAGAATCAATTACATGTGTTTAACTACTCATTTTATTGATAATGATTGGAAGTTGCATAAAAAGATCTTGCATTTTTTTCCAATTGATAGTCATAAAGGAGTAGATTTAGGTATTGCCATTGAGAAGTGCTTGATTGATTGAGGAATTGAGAAGGTTTTTAGTGTTACGGTTGATAATGCAAGTTCGAATGATGTGGCAATTAGACACTTAAAAGATGTGATTAAGAATATGGGTTATAGCATCTTAGATGGAGAATTCATTCATATGAGGTGTATGGCACATACTTTGAATCTAGTTGTTGTTGATGGGTTAAAACATTTTAATCATTCGATCGTTCGTATTCGATCGACCGTTAGGTTTGTGAGGCAATCTCCAGCTAGGTTGAGAAGATTTAAGGAATACATTCAACTTGAGAAAATTGATTCTAAGAGTTTGTTACAACTAGATGTCGCAACTAGGTGAAATTCAACATATTTGATGTTAGAGTTGGCTCTAAAGTTTGAGAGAGCTTTTAAGAGATATAAGCAAATTGATCCTTTATATAGGAGTGAATTTGATGTAGATCTTGGTGATAATGTTGTTGGGCCACCTAATGTGGATGATTGGAAGACTTGTAAGAAGATGGTGGGTATGTTGAAAATTTTTTACAACCTTACTTTGTGCATTTCGGGTTCCTTGTATGTGACTTCAAATATTTTTTTTGAAGAGATTTATGCGCTTGAATATGTTTTCAAAAAATGGCAACGAAGTGAGGATTTGGATGATTTTGCATTGGCTAATAAAATGAAGGAAAAGTTTGAGAAGTATTGGGGGGATATTAAGAAAATGAATAAGTTGATTTATATTGCGACAATACTTGATCCTAGGCATAAACTTGTATTTATTGAATTTTCAATCAAGGAATTGTATGATGATTTAGAGGGTCAAAATATGTCAAATATTGTGAAGGGATCTATAAATGCCATGTATGATTTCTATTGACGTTCATCATCTCAATATGAAATTGGCCAAACTAGTGGGAGTTGGGGAATAGATGTGATTGTGCAAATAAAGAAATGATTGATGAAGAAGAAAATAGAATAAAAATGGAGATAATGATGCGTTTTGAAAAATACAAGTATGATATTGGAAGTGGAGGAAATAAAATGGAGTTGGACAAATATCTTGATGAAAGTGCTGAAAATAATAGTGCTGATTTCAAGATTTTAGAGTGGTGGAAAACTAATCCTCCTCGGTTTCCCATCCTTTCAAAAATGGCTAGGGATGTATTAGCGGTTCTGTTTCTACGGTCTCCTCGGAATTGACATTTAGCACCGGAGGAAGAGTTCTTGATCGCTTTAGGAGTTCTTTAACTCCTACCTTAGTGGAATCTCTTATATGTGCTCAAGATTGGATTAAAAATTCATCGACGCCAATTATTATTGAAGAAAATTTACAAGATATAAAGAAAATGCAAAATGGTAATTTCTATAACTCTTATCATTTAATTTGTTATTTCTTTCCTATATATTAATGATAAAAGGTTAATTTTTTTATCTTTTATTTTTCGAGTTACCAATTGTCGGTGCCACTAACTCTACTATAAATGTTTGATGGGTTGATTACTCGATAGTGTTTTGGCTTTTTGAATGATATGTGTAAGTTATTAAGTTTTTAACTTTGATTTTTTTATTTACGTTGCTTATGCATGGTTGGATGTTTGACTTGCATCTGGTCAATGCTACGAGCCTACTCGCCTACCGACCTTGAATTAAATTTTCATTACACATATCGAGGCTGTCCAAATGTCCATTGGATGTCCGACGGTGTCCAATGCTCCGAGTCGACCGACTGTTAAAGGAGGCTCGAGGGCTCGAGGTTGTCCGAGGTTACAAGCAAGACTCTTTATTGTGGGCAATTTTCTTTATGGTTTTTTGATGTTTAGTAATTTCTAATCTAGATTTTGGTATGTAAGTATGTTGTATTATTGATGAATCTTTCTTACTTTTTTCTTTTTTTACATTCTTTGAGGTGTTGGATTGTTGGTAGTCAAAGACTCAAAGTCTAAGTAAGAATGATGAATGTTGAATGTTGCTTTCCATATTTCCATATTTGTTGAATGTTGTATGATTTCTATCTGTCAATATTTGGCTATTTGGTGCGTCCGATGTGTCCGGTTGATTGGTTCTACTTAATGTCGTCCGCCTTCGGTGTTTCGTCTCATCGCCTTCGATTGCTACGTGTCTACGTCCGCTTCGCCTAGTGCCTTCGGTTCGTTGCGTCCGGTTTGGTGAGTCCGGTGCATTCTTTTTATTCTTGAGTTTATTGATTTTAGATGAGTTGTTTAGTTTTCTTGCAATTTTAGACTTTAATTTGTTGTTTGTTGGGTGATTAGGATTGGTTCTATTATACGGGCAATGCTGATATTTGTCATGATGGTTAATGGTGGCCAATTAGCCAATCACATATTAGCCTTGTGGTTGTTTCTTTATGTGAATGGTCGGTAAGCTTACCGAAAGCGGCTACGTGCCTCCGTTAGTGGCAGTTGATGGTAAGCCGAAGCTGTGGCTTCACTTTCTATAATGTATTCATGTGCATGTATGTGATTTTTCGGATGTTGTGGGCTAAAGATGACACTTTAGCAACAAAGGAAACCATCAAGCGAGTGATTAATCAATTGAGGGACTTTAAGAGCGAGGTTAGCATCTAATTTATGGTCATCAATCCTGTTATCCTTAGAACCTTCTCGTCGAATGTTTTGGAACTTTCATTGTTGTCTTAGTTCACTATCTTGGAACTTTTATTGTCATCTTAGTTTATAAATGACATCGCAAACCATTTTAGGATGTACTATTACATTTTTTTAATAGTAAATTAGTTTCTAATACCATAAAAATAAAAATTTTTCACGGGAATAAAAGTTTGGTTATAACCGAATTATTTCGATACCGAACCAAAATAATTCGATTACAAATCGAATTAATCGAATTTAGTTTGGTTCGGTTTTGGTTTTCATTTTTTCTAATTCGGTTAACCAAAAACCGAATCGAATTAAGCTTAACCGAATCGTTTAACCGCTTGCTCACCCCTAACGATCGGCGGTATCAAGTAGGGAAACACTTCAAACCAAAAATAGGCTCGGG